GTAACAAGCCACTGGGGGGAAAGGAAAAGTCACTGTGAAAGGAGTAAACTTTAAGAACAGCGTACTCTACTAGAAAGAGGGGTGTTTTCTCCCCAGGAGCCAGGAGTTCTAAATCCCTATGGTACCAATGTGTGTAATTAATTTTCTTCTTCAGTTGAGGGGTGGTCTTGATCATGCTCATGCTTAATTAAGCCTCGGGTACTGTTCTTTTTCGCTACCACACTGCAGTATAATATTGCAGATCACAGAACTGGTGACTAGACAAAACTAGGACCTTAGGGCTAGAAAACTGGAGCCACGGTTACGTTTCAGCCCAGGCACACGCTTCCCAAGCCAGTATTCAAAGTGCCAGCTTTGGGCGTGCAAAGCCACGGCTCCCTGGGTCCCCGAAGATGGCTAAGCTGCGAAAGTGACTTTCCTGCTCTTCTTTGCCAGGTTGCCTGGTGCCTAAAAGAGAAAAACTGTTTCCCCAAAGTGAACTCCACCCCCAAGGGTCTTCTTGCCATCATTTAATAACAAAGTCACCTCTCAACGTATAAATAGTAGAACTTCTAGTTAAAAGTTGGAAACCAATCTTTCCAGAAGTTTATAGTTTTTTTAACATTTATTTTTGAGGGAGAGAGAGAGAGTGAGCAGGGGAGGGGCAGAGAGAAGAGGGAGACACAGAATCTGAAGCAGGCTCCAGGCTCTGAGCTGTCAGCACAGAGCCTGACATGGGGCTCGAACTCACGGACTGCGAGATCATGACCTGAGCCGAAGTCGGATGCTCAACCAGCTGAGCCACCCAGGCGCCCCTAGAAGTTTATAAAAATCACATCAGCTGTACCACTTAGGTTATGTAAAATGCAATGCTTGAGGTAAAGGTCTTCAGCTGCCCACAGACGTGGCAGGTAAGCTCTAACGCATATAAAAAGCACGCTGGCATTGAGGGAAACGGGATGAATAAAGAGATCTGTACAAACACACTCAGAGTTAGGACTGTGGATTCACCCGCAGCATCACACTGGAGGTGAGGAGGTCTGTGGCCCAGTGTAGCTAGGTGACAGGTGGATTCCAGCAACAGGGTGGGCTGCTGTCTCATAGGATGCCGGCCTGAAGGCTGGGTCAGCTGAGAGAGGTGGAAACTTGGGCAGGTGTCATGGAGCGTGTGAAGAAAAACTAAAGACACCACCAGGAAGGAGGAGGCATCCTCAGGGGGAAGCTTGAATTCTTCTACTGCTCTAATTCGGGAACTCCAGAGAGCAAGGAAGTTGAAAAGACTCAGGACACTTGGGTCATCTATAACAGGGGCTTTTTTGATGTCAGAAATTAAAGCTTCTGGATATATGTATGTGTGTGTGTGTGTGTGTGTGTGTATGTGTGTGTGTATATATATATATATATATATATATATATATATATATATATATATAAAACACCATGTATTCTAAGACAAATTCCGTGCTGAGGAAAATGGAAAATGGGGTGAATTATAGCAACTGAGTCCAAAGGGGATAGTAAAATCTTAGCATTAATAATGATAATAATATCCAGATAGTATTTTAAGTATGTGGAAAACACTTTTCATAGACATTGTCTCGTTTAATCACTGTTAACAGCTCATTGGAGTGTAGATACTACTGTAGTCTCTATTTTGCCAGTAGGAAATTGGGGATCTGAGACCTTCAGAGACTAGACCTAGGTCACATAGTCAAAGACCAGGAGAGTCAACCCTCAGCCCCAAGTCTTTTGGTTCCAAACGTGTTTCCTCACTATGCTTTGTCCTAACAGTCTCCCCATATCAGAACCAGACTTTGCTACAGAGCCTGCTGGGTATCATCCCGGGAGGGAGTTCCATTGCATTGGTCTTTCCAGCCTACACTTGGGGGACATAACACCAGCAATCCTTACTAAATTGCTGACGTTCATACTTTATACAGGTCAGGGTACCCAAAATAAAGTAAAACTCACTGAGTTCCTGCCAGAAATAACAGTGGAAACAGCCCACCCCCTAATTTTATAAATCTCAATTTTATTCGAGAGATTAAAAATATACATATTAATGAAATCTTAAAACCTCAAAGTACGTATTTTTATATGTTGGACAGGAAAACCTAAGCTACTTAAATTATGCATAACTATACCTCCTATCCTGCAAGAATTGGAAAGGTTGATGTAAAATGTTAATTTGTTTTAATTTCAGGTAGTTCAGATCAAAACAACTTGACGAATCCAGAACAAGGAGCTAAAGAGAAATAGCTCACTTCGTATTTCTCATCAAATGTGTGAGCCTAAAGCTAATTTTAACCCTCTTTACTGCTCAATTTGACGATGAAAAAGCTTTTGTAAGAAGTGTTCCCATTTTCTTTAGGCCTCCATTGCAAACTGTCATTGACAGTTACATTTGTGTGTGTGTGTGTGTGTGTGTGTGTGTGTGTGTGTGTGTGTGTAAAAGTATTCCCTATTTTCTAATTGACATTTGTTATCTGGAGAGAAAACCTGGGTATTTTTTGCGCGCAGTGGATATACCTCATTTAAAACAACCCTGAGGGGGCACCTGGGTGGCTCAGTCGGTTGAGAGTTTGACTTCGGCTCAGGTCATGATCTCACAGCTCGTGAGTTCGAGTCCCGTGTCGGGCTCTGTGCTGACGGTCAGAACCTGGAGCCTGCTTCGGATTCTGTGTCTCCCTCTCTCTCTGCCCCTTCCCCACTCACATTCTGTCTCTCTCTCTCTCAAAAATAAATAAACATTAAGAAAATTAAAAGGAAAACCCTGAGATACTATTTTTTAATGAATGGGCACCTTTCTTTAGAGGAACAGTGTTTCTAATAGAACTTTTGAAGGTATGTTTGGAATTCTTCAGGTTGCCTCACATGTAGCAGAATCAGAATTTTGGAGCTAGAAACCCAGGGAGATGATTTAGTTAAATTGTCATTCTTACTGACAAGGAACGTGTGGGTCAGGGAGGGGAAGGGACTCCTCATGGCTGCCTGCTCGCCTGGGACAGTGCTGTGACCAGAACCCAAATCTCTGGCTGATAGTCCAGTGCTCTAGAATGGTTTTCTCCTGCTACATTTCTAATAGGCTGCTGACATTTTTTTCTGTTACTGCTGCACACGGATGGCCCCTTGTGATCTGAAGAAGAAAAAGAGCTACCCTTAAATTATCTCCTCCTTCTTGGCTCTTTCCTCTTTTACCCTGAAATTAAATCCTTATGAAGAAACTGAATAGATTTTGCCCTGGCTTGGTGACAGTGTCATCTCTCTTGACCAGTCATCGGCTGTTTTGGTCCACATCTGGAAGAGACTCGGTACACTGTATTCTCGGGCTGGGAACAGTCGGACTGGGGTTTGTCCGTGGCAGGCAGAGAATTGTTTGAGAAGGAGCTACCACTGGGCTACTGTTTGTCCCACAGCACACAGAGCAGACCAGGCCCGCTTGCTCACTCTCTTTTTTTTTTTTTTTTAGTGTGTGTAGGGGGTGGTCATCAAAACAAGTAGCTATTCTCAGACACCTTAATAAATAATTAGGTATGTCTGTTTACACTTGGGAGACAGAAGGCTTCACATCCCAAAGAAATTCAGGGAGTCTGGGAGCAGCCACAAACAGATGTTGAAAATGTCCATTTGTGGCAAGTTTTATGACTATAGCACCAGAAGTATGCATGGAGGATGAAACCCCTCTGAAGGGGTGTGTGTGTGTGTGTGTGTGTGTGTGTGTGTGTGTGTGTTATCAAGTGGAGTAGAAAGTGAAAGGAGATCTTCCCTGCCCCCCCCCTCCCCGATTTGCTCTAGTATTTGTTTATCTCCTACAACAAGGAAAAAGTTCACTATTATTTGGCTTTGGCTGTTTGAAGGCTTTTGCCAAATGCTTAACAATCTGTAGGGTTTGATTTCTCTCAAAAAAAACCACTTTGAGAACAAGGCTCTATGTAACTAAGATATGTTTGTTTTTGTTTAAATCACTCAGAAGAGAAATCATCTCTTGTCCATTGTTAAAAGAGAGGTTTCAATCAAAGGAAAATTCTACATATTCTAAAATATACAAACAGCTCTTTGAAACTGATGCCAAATCAAACTCTAAAAGGGACGTTTCTCTTGCAGAAGTTTTGAGTTAATTCCGTGTGCGAGGCTTGAGTGGAAAAACTCTGAGACCGTCAGAGGAACCAGTTTCTGTAACACCGCGTTTGGATTCGGAAGTTGTATGAGGGGCTTTGTCTCAGGATAGGGTGAAGTCTCTTGTACGCGGTTTTAGGCTCAACTCTAGAAACAAAGCAAGAGAAATACTTTTCAGAGTGAGTCAGTTTTTCAGTTAAATAAAACTTAGTAGTTTGTTTCCTGATGTTACTGGATCCGAACCTCCAATGGGAGAAGGTGTGCCTGTCATCACTTTATAAAAAAAAAACAAACTTCAATTGAAATGTTCCCCTGTTGTTAAAGAAATACCGTCCTTTGGCCTATCATGATTTCTAATAGGATGAAAAATAGTGGATGCTAATGAGACGAGCCCAGTGGGGAAAAGGGACACAAATTGGAATAGGCAGAAACCAGAAGGCATACATAGAGTGCAGTAAGGGTATTCCCATCTCTTTTTACACACACACACACACACACACACACACACACACACACACACACACA